ATTATATGACTTATGTGATTTGGTGACCGAATGTTGTTCGGAGTCTCGGATGAGATCACGGACATGACGAGGAGTCTCGAAATGGTCGATAGGTAAAGATTGATATATAGGACGATAGTATTCGGACACCGAAAGTGTTACGGAGTGTATCGGGTATTTATCAGAGTATCAGAGGGGTTACCGAAACCCCCAACGGAAATATATGGGCCATATGGGCCATGAGAGGGGAGCACACCAGCCCACAAGGGGTGCCCCCTATGGCATGTGGCCGAATTGGAGAAGGAAAAAGGGGGGTTCGGCCCCCCTTCCCTTTCTTCTCCGATGAAATAAGGAAGGGAGGTGCCCCCCGGCTGCCTCTCCCCCACCTATATATATGTGTGGGGAGGGGGGCGCCTAGAACACACAACAACAATTGTTAGCCGTGTGCGGTGCCCCCCTCCATAGTTTACACCCCCGATCATATTTTTGCGGCGCTTAGGCGAAGCCCTGCGAGGATCACTACACCATCACCATCACCACGCCGTTATACTGACGGAACTCATCTACTACCTTGACATCTTACTGGATAAAGAAGGTGAGGGAAGTCACCGAGTTGAACGTGTGCAGCACTCGGACGTGCCGTACATTCGACACTAGATCAGTCGGAGCTAGAAGAAGTTCGACTACATCAACCCCGTTGTCAAACGCTTCCGCTTATGGTCTATGAGGGTACGTAGACACCCCCCCTCCCTCGTTGCTATGCATCTTCATGGATAGATCATTGCATGTGCGTAGAATTTTTTTTGTTTTTCCATGCAACGTTTCGCAACAGGTATTTATGGGGGAATAGACGGAATTTGGTTCATGAGGGGAAGTCTCAAGAGGCGTACCAAACCTCGATGGGGATTCATGCTATAACGGCAAACTATGTAAATGCCCACTCACCTAATGCAAAAAGGAAAAATGAAGGATGGAGCACACCTCCTATGGGGTTCGTTAAGTTAATGTGGATGCTTCTTTTGATCATGACCTGCTAAGGGGCACTAGCTATTCTTAGAGATGACAAAGGAAATTACATCGTTGGGAGAAATTGGAAGATAGACTGGTGCACGGATGTTCTGATAGCGGAAGCGTTGGCGCTGAGGTTTGGATTATTGTTGGCATGAAAGGCGACTGTAATCGTCTCGTTATTAATTTTGACAATATGAAAGTTATTGACACAATGAACAACGAAGAACATTCCGCAGGAGCAACCACGGCAGTTTTTTATGATTGCTATTTTTTGGCTTGTGATTTTTCTCTTACTAGGTTTGAACATTGTAAGTGAATAAAGTAGCTCATGAGCTCGATAGATTAGCAAAAAGTTCGATGACAAGGGATTGGTTTAAGGAGCCAATGAGAAATGTTGTACCCCTTCTAATCAACGATGTCATCATTGTTTCTAATTCATAAAGTTATTGATGTTTTTTAAAAAAAGATGCTAAGTGAAAAAATTAAAAAAATCTCGCTTAAGCGCCTCCCTAAGCGCTCTGCATTGTTGATGCCCTAACAGGTGCATGATTCTAAGTTTGTTTTGCCAATGCTTTGATTATGCATGGTCCTTGTTCAAACAAAAATGCTTGATCCGTATGCAAATATGTCATTTTTTTGAGAATAATATTTGTCGTATTTACACCGCTTTATTTTGGTAATGGCAGTTAACTCCTTCACCCGACGCGACGCGCATACGTACGAGCAGCTGTTTTGGCTGCAAAGGCACGGTAAAATGTAGTCTGTGAATAGAAGGACGTCGTGTAAACTTGAGTGCAAACGCTTGACTAGGAGGCCAAGGACGACGACGCAGAGTCTAGACACCAAGTACTACCTGCTGTAGGATTTTCAATCAGCAAGCCTAGGCACTCCCTAAAAAAAAAAAGCAAGCCTAGGCACGCCTACGCACGCCTAGCGGGCTCGCCCTGCCCTGCCTGCGTTCTGAGGCCAACTTCCGCACGCGCGACTTCAAACGGATGTCCGTTTTATTCGGATTCTATCCGTTTGGGTAATGATTTGAGATCGTATTCGGGCGTGTCTTCGGATGCGGTGGCCGTGCGCCATCGCGTGGACGCATCCTTGTGCCCTATACTGTCCGCTAAGGCCAAAAATGCCCAAATTTTCATCAAAACTAGATTACAACCCAAATATTTGTTTGAAAATTAAAATAGTTTTACAACCAAATTGAAATTGTCTTTAATAAAATATTTTTACAACCAAATCGAAATTGTCTTGACTAAACATAAAATGGACCAATACATCTATTGATTGCCCATGTGATCCCACACGTGCTCAACCAAGTCATTTTAAAAATTCAAATGAGAGTGCCAATCACACATCTCACGATGGAATTGAGCAAACTGTTCAAATGTGGCCAGGTCTTGGTGCAGGGGCTCAATATTTTCATCTTGATAGTCAAATCCTTGGTCAAAGATACTCTCATCACGCTCGTCCTCGACGATCATGTTGTGCATGATCACACAAGCAGTCATCACCTCCCAAAACTTCCTTTCATCCCATGACAGTGCAGGGTTTCGAACGATACCCCACCGGGATTGAAGCACACCAAAAGCACGTTCCACATCCTTTCTAACACTCTCTTGCATTTGGGCAAATCTCTTTCTCTTCTCATCTCGGAGTTTCGAGATTGTCTTCACAAAAATTGACCACTGAGGATATATACCATCTGCTAGATAGTATCCCTTATTGTAATGGTGGCCGTTGATATCAAAGTTGACAGGTGGGGAGTGGCCTTCTGCAAGCCTCGCGAAGACTGAAGAACGTTGCAGCACGTTGATATCATTGTGAGAACCTGCCATGCCGAAAAAAGAATGTCATATCCAAAGATCCTGTGATGCCACCGCTTTCTAATATGACAGTGCACGCCTTGACATGCCCTTTGTACTGGCCCTGTCAAGCAAATGGACAGTTCTTCCACTCCTAGTGCATACAATCTATGCTGCCAAGCATGCCTGGAAAGCCTCTAGCTGCGTTGGTCGCCAACAATCTCTCTGTATCAGCGGCAGTTGGCTGCCTCAAGTACTCTGGGCCAAACACCTCGATCACAGCCTGGCAAAACTTGTACATTGACATCAGACATGTTGTCTCACTCATACGCACATACTCATCCACCAGATCGCCTGGAATTCCATATGCAAGCATGCGGATGGCCGCGGTGCATTTCTGGTAAGAGGAGAATCCAAGCTTGCCAAGGGCATCCGTCTTGCACTCGAAGTATGGGTCATGAGCAACCACTCCCTCTCGGATACGATTGAACACATGACTTGCCATTCGAAAACGGCGGCGGAATTTATCCGGCTTGAAGAGCGGGGTGTTGGCAAAGTAATCGGCATAGAGCAGGGCGTGCCCTCTCTCCCTGTTGTAGTTCAGGTTGGGAGCACGGCCAGGGAGTGACCCCCTGTACCGAGGAAGCTGCCGTTGAATGTGGTCGTGAACGACCAGTGCAGCCACCACAATATCTTCATCATCCGACGACGAATCGTCCGATGAACAAAGAAAGTGATGGAAGAAAAACTCGTCTCCACTGTCCATACCTTTGTGGGCAAAATGCCGAACACCTTGCGGGCGTGGTGGCGAAGATCACCTCGACACAGCAGGGGTGGTTGCCGGCCGGCTACTGGCCACTGTGAAGCTCTCGTCGGGAGCTGCCGAGGACGCCGTGCTGCGTCGCCGGCGGTCCTGTCCCCTCTACGGCCGGCAAAGACGTCGATGGCCAAACCTCTGATCGGCGGCCAAAACTACGGCCACAGCACGGGCGTGGTGGCGGCCATGTCGAGAAGTGGTTTGGTAGGGACGGCCGGAGGCTGCGCGGTGAGGAGGCGGCCGGAGAATAGTGGCGGTGCCGGCAGCGGGCGGGGCGAGAGAGAGAGGGTGGAAGCGTTTGGGAGCGGAGGGACTGCTAGTGTCACCGACAGGCGAGCCAAGGAGGAACAAGGGTGTGCGTCCAAGCCGTCCGCGCGCGTCCGTTTCACCCCAAACCGAGCGCAAATTTGGGCCGGGGATGGATCGAAAACGAACGAAATTCGGACATTTGTCCGTTTGAGATCGTGCGCTGGGCTGCGCTATTCGTCCATTTTACCTCAAACGGACGGGAGCGGATAGGATAGGGTCACGCGGTGGAGTTGGCCTCACTGGATCCCAAGCATGCTCCACTGCTCCTGCTTCCTACCCATAATTTCGGCCAACGAGAATAATCCCAGAGAGAGAAAAAAAAGTGATTAGCCCCTTGGTTATTGATCCTGTGACGGTTCCTTCAATGATCCTTTTTAACGGTGGAGAGGTTCATTATTTTGAAAGAGAAAATGTCACTTTTTTTTCCAACATCTGTGAATCATCAATCCTCGACCTCGTTCGAACACCTCCCGCCTATTTCGAATGATATTTTTTTTCCCAAGGGACCTAGGCGGAATACAAAGCGAGCAAGAAAGCACTACTACTATATACTCCTATTTTGGAAAAGTTACAAGGTTAAGAAAATTAATTAGCCGGTATTAATCAGTATATCCAGAACAAGAATGACGTAAATGGTCACAACGGTCCACATAAACTCGTAAATCCAGAAAAAAAATGTACTGCTACTAGTACTATACCACTAAATGATCCATGGAGCTGGACACGCATCCTTCTCCATCTCGTATGCAAGCTTGACCCAACGCCTTGTGTGTTGTGTCCTTGTGGGCGCGCGGCTGCGCGTGGAGCCGACCTCATGATCGCAAAGCGCAAAGCGGAGTCACTCTCACTGTGCTCACTTCATCACCCCCCACATTCTAAAGCGACGCGTCACTTTATTGCCCTCACCTACAAGGGCGCCACAGCGTATCCCATCTTTCAATACCACCACCACCAACATCATGGGGGCGTCAGTCACCGACATCCACCCCTTGGACTACATACCGTACGTGCCTGGCTTGCTCCACTCGTAGTACAGCACTATGTACGCATGAAAGCCAGAACAGAGCACGCCAAATCGCTCAGAAACAGAGCCTCTTCCGGCACATGGCACCGCCGCCGTGGTCGTGCCCGCGGCCAAACTGGCCGAACGGCCGCTCGGAGTGCGCGAGCAGCTCCGTCACGACGTCCAAGACCAGTTCCTGCAGGATGGCGCGCTCCAGCGCGGCGCCGACGAGGCCGGCCTCCCACCGCTCCTCGCCGGCGCCCTGCCCCCACACCTCGCCCACGCTCTCCACCATCGCGCGGCTCCGCTCTGGGCCCTGGAGGCCCCACCGTCGCCGATGCTGCCAGCCCTGCGCCTCGGCTGCTGACGGCGTCCACCGCGGCATTCCCTCGACGGCCGCCACCGTCGCCGGGTGGTGGTACATGGCCATGGCGTGCAGCTCGTTGCAGTATTGCTTGATCTTGCAGTAGTCCCCTGCATGAACGACACGAGAAACCACACGTGTTACCGTGAAGCCCGCACCATATTTTTCACGACAAACAAAAGATAGTGACAACTGACAAATTTGATGTGGCACGTAAACCACTAAACTTAAGCTTAATTAATCTGGAGAAACTAACACGGTGCAGATCATCAGAGTACGAGTATAAAATGCGTGCACGTATACGTGAGTTATATGGAGAACTGTGTATTTGAGCGACAGAGAATCAGAGATAGCAGCACGTACCGGAGAAAACAAGTGTTCGGGAGGGCTTCACGATCTTGGATCGTACTATGAGCGCGTCGTTGCCGCAACGGGAAATCTCGGGCTTGCTGTCTGCATCGAGATGTGTGCATGGAGACGATCGCTTCCTGCATGGAAATCTCGGTGAGATGATGGCGTCCAGCACCGAGTCCGGGCTGGGATACTGCGCCTCGGCCCGCGGCTTCTGCTGCAGCGGCGGCGAGCCGTCCATCCACTTGGCGCCCTTGCCTTCCCCTGCCGGAGCCGGCGAGACGTCGGACGCAGCGGCCGACCGCAGCTCGGCAGCCCGGACGGCCGCGATGATCCGCCGCAGTGTCTGGAGGTCGTCGTCGCATTTCTCCAGCGCGCCCAGCAGCTTGCGCCGCTTCTCGGCGGCCATCTCTGGTGGCGGGGGAGGAGGAGGGCGGGTCGGCAGCGGTCGTGGCCGCGGGGTCGTGGCGGGGGAAGCCGGCGCGGACTCCTCCAGTCCCATTAGGCGCGCGACGATAGCTGGCGGCGGCGGCCTGGGGCTGTCACAGCTGGCCCGGCGGTACTCAGGAGCGATCGTCGGGCTCCGAGGCGCTTCGCATGAACGCCGCCGCCGGACAGCTGTCGGCGTCTGCGGCTTCCCTGGGACCTGCGTCGGTGCCGACGACGCTGCCGGCTTCTTCATGGGCGGTGGAGACGGGGGCGGTAGGGAGGCCTCGGGCGTGGCGTTCTTGGCGGTGAGACGCTTCCGGTGGCGATGGTACGGGGAGAGAAGGCGGAGGAGGCCGGCCATGCACCCCATGCTCCGCCGGGGCGCGGTGGCGGCCGTGGAGGAGGCCCGGCGCTGGGCGGACTCCGTCGACTGCATCACGTCTTGACTCGTCAATGTGGAAGGGGTACACCCGCGTGCTACGTTAGCGTGGGTGGCATTATAATTGGCGAAGAGGACGCGCGCAATGACAGCGTCACCCCCGGTGCCCACAGGCTCGGCCCTAATAATAGCAAGGGTATTTTAGGAAACTTCTCAGCTTGCGCTTTGTTAGAAGAGACGGGACAAAAGCTGAGTACGTACACGAGCTAAACTGCACTCTGCTGCAGTGGTGGAAGCCTAGCTAGCTCGCTAGCTCAGCCACTTTGCTCGGGAGCAGGCGGCAGCATGCAGCTGCTGCGCTGCAGCAAGCAGTGAGTAATTAACCTGACATTAATTTGAACGTCAGGCAAGTACGGTGTGTCACAGAGTGGAGTAGAACTAGCCTAAGTGTGGGGATTAACGAATAATAGTCTGAATGATCATGCATGCATCTCGAGGCGGAGCAGGAAGTTGGCAATGATAATTTCCTGAGCAGGATTTTGGTCGGTGAATTTTGGGGCCGGCGAGTGGTGCTCTGCTCTGCTGGGCAGACGCATCACATGGTAAAAAGGGAGAGTATCGAGTTTTCCAGCATCATGATGAGACATGCAGCTCTGCAATTGTGTTTTTTCTTTCGTTGCTTTAGCTTCAAGTTTACACCTCCGGCCTGTAAATATACTAAAGTCTCAAGATACGACCCAGTGCCCGGCCGGCCTCTGTGGATCAACACCTAAAGCTTCCACAGGACGCGTGCGTGTACAGCAATTTCCTCTTCTTTCTGCTAGTTGCTGCTACAAAAAACAATGGCTTTGGAAGCGTAAGAAATACTATCAAGTTTACTATGTCCACTCTCCTGGGAAATGCATGCGCTGTAAACGACTTCAACCTTACGTTGTTTTACAAACAAATTGACAGCTGTACCTCAATTATGTGTTGTTCCATTTAGGGTTTAGTCTAGTGAGAGAGAGAGAAGGAAAAAGCATGCGGCGGCATGGTTAGCATTCAGTGAGAGTAGCACGGCATCTTATTAAAGAAGCGAGAGGAGAAATGCACAGCACATAGTGTGAGAGTGGGTAGAAAAGCAAAAGAGGCCATGCATGCAGAAGAGAAAAGAAAAGAAAAGGCTCCCGCTCCATCGATCCGTCCATCACTACGAGGTCGAGGTCGAACGGATCCTAAGCTCTTTTGTACCTTGGGAGACACCACCACGTGGCGCCACACTGGCACCCTGTGCGCACGCAGTAGCTCTATGCACAAGTGTAGTCTACACACACACCAGTCTACTACTACCGCTGTGCCAGCACTAGTAGTACGAGTGCTACTCACTCATTCCTCTGTGCCCGCCTCGTCTTTCTCTCACGTGGTGCCGCAGCGGCAGCGCTTCTGAAATCTGAATGCTCACTTGAAACTGATGAATGGAAAAGGTCCGTGGGGATCTTTCTTGATAAATTAATATCGAGCCGATCGAAGCTACGAGTAGTGCAGTAGGAGTAGTAGACAGCAAACAGCAACAGTAGCACCGCGCGCGGGCCGGTCGACGCGATGTGCTCGGCGGCGCTCGCGCGGCAGGTAGGAGTACGTACGCCTACGGCCACGGGATCCCGCGCGCCTACTCGCATCGTTTTGCGCCGCGGCCGGCGGCGCGGGGACGGGCATGAATACCTTCGGGGCTAGTGCCGACCATGAATCCTTCGAAAACTGCAGCGTCTTGTCTGGTGGCGAGCGTGCCGACCGGCCGCTCTGCCTCTGCCCGTGCCGTGCATGCATAGAGCCACCGCTGTCCGCTAGCGTTCCGTGGTAAGGCTGATCGTAACGGAGAGTATTATATATTAGTATCATGCATATGTGTGAGAATCCAGAATTAATTTCCAGACCCTTCTGTGTATATTTGTCAACGCCAGGATCATTGTTGACAACACAATGAAATGGTATCATTGCACAATACATAAAAAGGTATTACAATTTTAAATATATCTTGCCACAAGGCATACCTAGATAAATGTCTCATGACACTTATTACATTCAGAAAAACAGCGGAAAGTACAATGTGTAGCGACTCCATCTCAGCCACAGGCAGTCGATATAGTCCACGTGACCTCACTCCTACGGATCGCCATAGTAATCGTAGTCATCACCTTCATCTCCATGCAACTCTGTTGCCAACAAAATTATTGCCATGAGTACATTACGTACTCAACATGCCTCCCTCGGGGAAGGACCTAATAGCTACATGTGGCTTCAAAGGAAGTCTGTATGGCTCATTTGCGTAAAGCTAATATTGTTTAATAAATAAAGTAGTTGGATGGAAGCAGTTTTAGATGAAAACATGTTTTATCTTCAGAACAACTTTCATCAAGTGAGGATCCTCGATCAACTCACGTCCTTCATAGGTTTCAAGAATAGGAGCAAAGATGGAATAAGCAAGACAGATCCTGTACGTCAAGAAAGATTCATGTGTTGTCCATGACCGTGGACACGGCTATTCGAATAGTTTTACACTCTGCAGAGGTCGTACACTTTACCCACACGACACAATCTCGTCTTGATGCCACCAGTGGCCGCTGGTATAGTACACCATTTGGTATACCGGCAGGGAGACTGTGATGAGGTCTTTGGACTAGATCCCCCAAAGATGTGACATGCCCACCGGGTCTGGCGCACGGAACTGAGAGTACGTCCTCAAACCGCCCCCCCCCCCCATCTGTGCCGAGGATACTCCTCGCAAGGCAGCTATCCCATCTGCGGTACGGCAACATCGACAGCTAAGGCTGACTAGCTTACTTGACCAAGCCAGTGCCCATATAGCATGTGGCTGTACTGTTATTACAATCTTCAAATCCAAGACTTATTAGGCCTTATGCGGCACGGAGACTGCTTTCCCCCTTCAACTCGTGAAGGGCGGCCAATCGCTCCTTCAATTCTTGATTCAGTTGTCGCCCACGCCAGTATTCAGATGGTAAGTTTCACCCAGAGTAGAAGAGGATAGAGAAGGTCAACAAGGCCAACTGGCCTAGCTCAGCGTTAAGTTTCAACTGTCAATGACTCAGAGTTCATTCAACAAGCCACCTATAGGGTGATAAGCATGGCTAAGCACTTCTACTCTACCGGAATTATATACTTCTATTTAGGTGTCAAACGAATAGGCGACAAGCGGTTCAAGGTAATGTGTCAATCGACACGCTAGCTACAAGAATTAAAATGGCATGCATATAGTAACCATAAAACACAATGCAATTTTGTAAAACATAGGATAAGTATGATCAAAGAAGGAGGCATGCCTTCGTTGTTGAGTCCTTCTTCGGTAACCTGTTTCTGTCCATGTACAACATCGTCGTCACTCCCTACTCGTCGTAACGATAGCAAAAGACAAACAATAAATACTAAAACAAAAGTAATCCAAATAACATCCAAAACAAATTAAGGGTGGATGGATAGCAAGATATTGATCAGATGGAGATTCCAAAAGGAGATAACATTACTGGAAGGTAAGTAGAGGACTCGATGAATTGACAGGGTTTAGGTTGATGATGGATAATCAAGGCTTGCCAACAATACTAACGTTCTAATACGAACTATGGTACTAACCACTAGTAGTACCCACTACACATCTCACCTAACTATAAAACAAAAGCAATGGCATCAACACACATGATAATGAAGTGTCCTTTGCATACTACACAATCATAACCATGGCATGATAAAGATAAAACTTAACCATAATAAATATTTAGATAGAATCTAAATATTTACAATGCTTATTGGCAAGCAAATATAAACAACAACTATAATAACTCAAAGGCAAGTATTCTATATGACAACCAAACCAACATTATAAGCCATACTAGTTAAGCACTCAAACATCAATCATAACAACTATAGCAAGCATTTCTATAATAAAAGACAAACCAATACTATGGTAGAAACTAATTAAACAACTTAATATAATAACACACATCTCACACAAGGCATGTGAGTATAGGATCATACAGATGTCTTAAGTAATAACACAAGCTTCACAAAGAAAAGTTATCAAGAGAAGATACTAAATTAGGACATGCTCTTAATAATAAAGAACAACTAATACTAATGACCACCAGCAACAATATTATCACCACATGCTTGCAATAATAAAGTACGATACACACACTGAGTGTGTGATCAAAGCACAACTCTACTGACATGACATATGACTCGTCCTAAGTATAAGAGTCATAGCAACAAGTATTAAAACACTCATAAGACTAAGATGTAATGAAGTTAAACATCTATAAGAAAGAACTAAACTAAGCAACCATAACACACGCAACACCATAAGACATGAAAGATTACTTGCATGAAAGATGTCTAGGCATATCATAATGCAATAGAAAGGTAAACAAAACATATCAAACGCTAGGCATACAACAATGCAATAACCAGATAAACTAATATGATGTGTAAACATGGATGGTCATCACACGAGATACCACACTACGATACCAATACAATACAATGCAACACCCAACTTAGTTTATATCGACTACATAAATAGAAAGCATGGAAATAGGACACAACTCTATGAGACTAGTTGACACGCATGAACATGGATGTGACGCCCCCGATTCAATCGTACACTAATCATGCACGCAAATGTGTACGATCAAGATCAGGGACTCACGGGAAGATATCACAACACAACTCTACAAATAAAATAAGTCATACAAGCATCATAATACAAGCCAGGGGCCTCGAGGGCTCGAATACAAGTGCTCAATCATAGACGAGTCAGCGGAAGCAACAATATCTGAGTACAGACATAAGTTAAACAAGTTGCCATAAGATGGCTAGCACAAACTGGGATACAGATCGAAAGAGGCGCAGGCCTCCTGCCTGGGATCCTCCTAACTACTCCTGGTCGTCGTCGTCAGCCTGCACGTAGTAGTAGGCACCTCCAATGTAGTAGTCGTCGTCGACGCTGGCTCCTGGCTCCTGGACTCCAGCATCTGGTTGCGACAACCAGAAAGAAAGGAAAGGGGAAA